TTGCACTATGACCACGTCGTTTTTCTCGAGGACATAAATATTAATTTGTTAGAAAATCATAGTTAAAAAACAAAATTGAATGTTATCCTAAACTTTTTTAGTTTATAGCAGATTATTAAGGATTCTACTCTAATAAATATTAATACATTAATACGTTAATACCTCCAGTATAATAGACATTATTGTAATGAAAATGTCCACTTATGACGACTCCGATTCTTGGATAACTGACAACATAAATATACTTATTCGTGTGAGAAACAAAGCGCATAACAAATACTTGAAAACTATAACACAAGCACATCTATACAAAACACGCTATAATACTATAATGCAATATAATAAATAAAGCTTATTGCTGCAATACGCTGACTCTCCATATATCGCAAAATCATTTTAATTTTGATTTAAATAAAATAAACGTTTATGCTTTCTATCACAATTTAAAACTCATTCCTGCAAAATCACAACTTTTGTTTTTTACTGGCAACCAAAATAATGAGTTCATCAAGACCAATTTAAAAATAAAAATTCATAATATGCCTGTTCCACTAGTTAATAAAGCAAAAAATTGGGGCGTAATCTTTCGCACTGGCTTATCGTTTGAAACGCATGTCGAAAAAAAACTTCAAATTGCTGATATGCGTTTAAAAAAAGTAAACTTTTTTAAACATTTGCCATCTACGCTTATAAAAAAAACTAATCATAACACCAGACATATAACATATGTCTGGCAGCATGAAACTGCAAATTTTCAAAAGTCAATTACAAAATCATACCTAATCATATCAAATTACAAAAAAAGAACTTTCACAAGGAATATAAAAGATGGATTCTTTGTCACAGCTGAACGGTATATTGTCGACACCTGCTATCTCGAGAGGAATTTTATCTTTAACCGGTAGCCGATGTTGAGACATTTTAAGACAAGTAGAAAATCTAGTTCTCATGTTGTTTTTCAGAGTTTTTTGATATATATACGGTGGTTCACATTGTGAGAGCAGAGGGTGAGATGGGTGATTCCTGCTTAAGAGATTTGAATTGAGCGCTCTGAAGAAGCTAGGAACATGTTTAACAGCCTGCGGAAATTTCTTTAAAAGGACCAATAGAATTATTGTTATCTAAAAAGTCAATCCTCTAAATCTCGACGTTCGGTTCATTCTGCATAAACGGGAATAAATTAGGACGACTGTGTAACGCGTGACGAAAATATCGAAATATATCGGTCCTTTGTACTTACTTGGCGGCTTGTTAACGTGGATTATAATAGGGCCTCGTAAACACAGAACATGATACATAATGTACGGGAACGCGCATTTCATGGTTTCGACGTATTCATATTGTCAACTCCCGGAGGCACAATTATTATTATATATAACCCGGAAAATTCGATTGGTCTCCTATTTTCACGTTCGCAGCGTGTCTCATATTAACAATAAAACTCGTTCTGACAATTTTTTTTATTGGTAAATTAATTCGGCACAAGTTTCGATGTTCGTATACCGGCAAAGGGTTTGATATATAATTGACATAAATCGTATTTAAAAATATTTAACTGCTTCGATCGCTATACTGAAAGTTTGGAAAAAGAAAATCATTACTTAAACAGATATTCTTTGTAAATTGTGATTTTTAAAGTATTTATATAAAAAAACTTTAAAATATTTTTTTCAAATTTCACAAATTTAAACATATTGATAGTGGTAACAGTTCAATCAACCCATTATTTTTATTGATTAAATTATTAGCAAAGCTCTGACTTGTTTGTAAATTATTTCGTACTAGTATATAATGGAACACGTTTTATGAACGACACTGAAGAAGTTTATAAACATGTTGCATACTACGTGCCAAAAACATCGGCTTCCAACTAGTGACAAAAATACCACGAACGCTAAAATTGATTAACGATACTGTTTGATGTTTAAAATTGATTTGTGCACACCTGATCAGTGAATAATTGGATATTTTGGAGTAGGGAGTAGAAAAATTAACTATTGTTATGTTTAGTTAATATTGAGTTAAGAAGAGAAGTTTGACTGAAAACTACCTCATTTTCTATGTAAAAATAGTCTATTAATTATAGCGTTATGTTGAGATTGATAACTCAGGTAGTATAAAAATCGTAGAACATTTTCTTTTGGTGGAATTGTTTTATTGTATGTATGAAAGTTTAGGTATGCTTATGCTGACACTAAGTTTTATAATATCTGTAGTATCGTCACTGATGAGGTTCATCGCATATAGGCTGTAGCTAAGCAGGATATAACTATGCTTCCTTTTTTGAATTATATTTCGTTAGAAATAAAAATCTTCAGATGACTATCCATCAGGTAGTGAAAAATAATAACAATAATAACAATAAAGTTTGTTGAAATAAATTGTTACATAAATAAGAACCAAAAGTTCAGATTTTCACGAAATTTCGTTTCGAAGTTTTAGTTGTTATTTATTTTGATAAATGAATTTTCATCAAGTAAAAGCCACATCAGTTCAAATTGTTAATTACACGATACCAAATTACATCCGCAAAATGGAACTGGAGGCCAATTACATTTGACCAAATTCTAGCTCCGAAAATAATTACAATAGATGGAAACTTGGTCCACAAACTGAAATTTTAGATTACATCAAATAATTTTATGAAACAACAGAAGTAACGCCAATAAAAATATAATAGCAAAGATTCTGGGTAAACGGTATATAAGGGGCATAAGGAATTAAAAATTTAACAATCCACAGGTGTTATCACGGTAAATAGGGAAACGATGAAAGGTCATATTTAAAACATAGTGTTCATAGTCTGTTATATATAAAGTTTTTTATTTAAAATGGGAACTATTACAGAATTTCTAATTACTGTAGTGCAAAAGTTATGTTTGGAGGCTCTTTATTCTCCGAATATGATTTGTATAATATGGATCACAAATTGAAAAGTATATCCTGGGTGGGTTGATGGGAATTTTAACTGATTGAAGTAATAGAGTTTTCTTTGAATAAGTTCTAGCCGTGCTTTCTTTTTTTTGGATTTTTTTTTATGTTCTCTGGATCTCTGGTGTCACATTTAGGGTTTTAGTATTGTTAGGAACATTGTTGTGTATGGTATATATACGATATATATTATATACGACAACGATCTTTAAAAAAGATTTAGTACAAGGAGGTGCCATTGGCAACCACCTAGTTTCCTGTAATTTGAGACACAGGCATCCTTCTGCGTATCTATAACATAACATTACAACAATTAAGCTAATACAAGTCTAATCAGATGAAATTTGTTTTTAGATTGTTTTGTTCTTGCCGAATATCATTCTAGCAACGCTGTCGCAACATGTTCCTGTGAGTTAATGGATTTGGTCGGGTTGGACAATTTTGTCCTTTTTGGCAGAAGTTGTAGTTGCAGTTACCAGGAACCATGCTAGTTTGGAAAGATTTGATTTTTATTGTGTGATTAATTAGGTAGGCGATAACACGTTTATCTGGTTATTTTCTTAAGTCGAGTAACTTTTTTTCTATATTTTTGGGATTTAATTTTGAGGCTATATAACGAATTTTAAGCAAACAGTTACTTGCTTATTTTGTGCTCGTATTTTCACGTCTGCCAATGCAGAATTTTGCTAGGTATTGTGGCAAAATGTAGTGATACAGCGCTGGATTAAGCCCAGATATTAATTTTATTTAAAATTCATACAAAAAACTAAAACTACATCTAAAGCTTATTCCAGCAAAAAGATTTTGATATACTTTTCGGCACACGCAGTTAAAGTTCCCATCATTTAGGATATATTTTCCGCTTATATTCAGATAATAGAACTCCTCCACAGATAATTTTTGCACTGTGGTAATTAAAAATTCCTTAATTTTGAATGAAACATTTTTAACTAAATATTTGTCATTTCGAACAACTCGACATAACATTTTGGACTGCTGTGTCACATGTAAACTGTCGATATCTGCTCTGCAATACCGGGTTCCCCAATTCGATGGACTATTGGAAGAATATAAAGAATGAAAAAAGATTAAAATTTGGGTCCCGGCCATGGGAGACTTTGATCATTATCTATATTTTTACCGTTTTAGATTAAAATCTGAAACTTTGTTTTGTTTCTTTCCAATTAAGTGCTGTATCATATTATGACAAAATTTAAGCTATATGCAGGGCGTTTAGAATTGTTTTTTATATTTTACAAAAGATGTAAATGTTAATGAAGCCTGAATTTTAAATGGAACTCTAATTATTTCTAGAGAGTTTGAATCTTCTTGACTTTATCAACATTTATTTTAGTAGAATATTGTTGATAGCAAGAGGATATGCATAAAATTTATAGTATAATATTTTTTTAACGCTTATCGCTATTCTTCTAAACTGCTGCTTAAATTTGCTGCATGCTCTTGCAGATCAGAACTTCACCTAAAATTATCAAAATTTACATACTTTTGGCACAGATAGATTCGACTGTACCCTTCGCCTTTAAAATACGCATTTTACTCTTTCTTTGCATCTAATAATCTGTGCTATGCGTCAATCATTTACTGATTGTCTTTGATACTATTTGCTATAAAACTAATCATCTTTATTAACAATGTTTATTTATTTTCACTGGCCCACAAATTTGAAACGCGTTTATTAGGCTCAATTGTAATTGATACACCTTTTGATGGTAATAAAATGATTGGTCACATTATTAATTAAAAGTAACTTTTTTAACCAGACTAAATTTTTATACATTTGTGAAACATGTAAACGGATATGTCAAGGTTTGTTCAGAACCCGCAAGTCTTTAGCGATAAGTGTAAAAAGGTCAATAGAGAAGAGCATTTCAGAGTCAGTATCTCCTTCCTTCCGTCCCCCTATTTATTATTTGAAAAGTGTTATTGTTTGTCTTTACGATATGGCAAATTTGACGTGTATGCGTCGCCCGGGGTGACGTTTTTATGGCGTCGGCGCGACGTTTCGCGATTCGCGCGGCCTCCCGGACTCTTGTTTAGTGCAACGCGGGCACGTAGTAGGAGAAGCTTCGCGGTTTCCACAGTGGCGCGTTACAATTTCGCTCGCCTCGTGGCGACTCGGGGCGCCATCTGGCGTCTTAGGCGGACGGGCTCTCAACCATGCAGCGACCAACCGACGGACACGGACTCGTACGTAACGCACTCAATCCACCCGGCACGTCATTTTTTTTTCTCTATGGCCGTCGACGGTCGTGGACGCAAGCTCGCGATAGAATTTTTCTATAATCGAAGTCTGTCATTAAAAAATAAGTGGAAAATAAAGTAGCCCACTCCGAATAACGAATGACTTTAGAAATCTATCAGACGAAAATGTACGCCGCGCCAAATTTTTCTCGGTAACCAGTAGAGATAAAACTTTGCGGTTTTCGCGATTCTTACCCTTAAAAGAGAAATATTATAAGACAATCGTAAGTTGGCCGGGAAATTATAGGTATTTAAGTTCCGCAAACATAATTAAACAGATATTTTATTTAGTTTGCTCGTTGATGAACTTTGGAAAATTATTAGAATTTAAAAAAATATTTTTCTCAATTTTGTCTTAATTTATATACTATTTTCAAAAGTTTTTTCATGTCGTAGATATCCAGACAGGCCGCAGCCAAAGAAGACCATTTTTTTATCAAATTAAATTTAATAAAATTAATAATAGATCATATCATCATATGAATTCATATCAAAACATATAATAAACAAAATAATGAGGACAATGAGATTGCTGTATTAGCAAGTGTTGAGGCCAAAAACGCTACTTCATGTAAGAATTCAGTATTTGGTATTTGGTATTTAAGGCGGCGACCCGCGCAGTTGGGCCCAGTGCGCCCCCAGACCACGCTAGAGGGCATCCAGAATGTCGCCCATTCTATAGCAGGTCAGCAACTCCTTTACCCCAATACCGTGCACTGAGTCCAGATCGATCAGGGCCGTTCTGAAGACTCCAAATCTTGCCCATGCCAAAACAGGGCACTCGGTGAGCAGATGATAAGAGGTCTTCTCCCCTTCCATGCACCACCTGCACTCCGACTCGTCACCAATGCCTATCAAGCAAAAATGCTAAGCCTGCAGTGTCCTGTGTAGGCTCCTGTTAGTGCTCTGCACCCCCTTCTGGGCAGTCCAAGCAACTACCTGGTCCGAGGGAGAGCGAACCCATTTATCATAAGCCTCACCTGCCTCATTCCCGGTGCAATATATATATATATATATATATATATATATATATATATATATATATATATATATATATATATATATATATATATATATATATATATATATATATATATATATATATATATATATATGGTAACCATTGTTATCGCAGTTGTTTTAAGTGCAATTACAAACAATAGATTTCAACTATTTTAGTATGATTTTATTTATTATTTTTTATCGATTTAGTTCTGATAACATGATAAACAAATGAAAAAAGTACCTACAAGTTAATAACCAAAATTTTTATTGCAATTAACTACATAATAAGACATTTCAAAAATTTTGTTCAAAATTATGTCCATCTGCTAGAACACAACTATCAAAAACTTTTAACAGATGAGCTTGGGTCACTTGTAGGAGAGTCCTTCTTGTGATAGCGGCACACGCTGCACTAATTTTGTTAATGAGATCAGCCATATCTTCGATAGGTTCTTCATGGATAACGTTTTTTAGGTAGCCCCAAAGAAAATAATCTGGTGGTGTAATGTCCGGGGACCTCGCCGGTCACCTTACCGGTCCATTAGTACCAAACCATCTATTGGGATATTCTCGGTTCAAATACCTCGTTACTATTTGGGCATTATGTGCAGGCGCTCCATCCTGCTGTAGCCACATATTCATTCTAGTGTCAAGAGGTATTTCTTCTAATAGTTCCGGAAGTGTATTTTGAAGAAATCTTAAATAGCGATCTGCATTTAAAGTTCCTTCGTAAAAGTAAGGTCCAATAAGGAATCAATTTAATATGCCGCACCAAACATTGATACTAAAAATTCGTTGGTTACCTCTTTCTGTAATCCAACGAGGATGGTTTTCGGACCAAAAACTACAGTTGTGTCTATTAACGATTCCATTATTTTGAAATCGACTTTCGTCGCTCCATAAAATTTTCGAGAGAAAATTTGCATCTTGGCTATACAAATCGGACAATGTCGCTAAGAAATACATTCTTCTAGCATAATCGCCTGGTTCTAGTTTATGAACTAGTTTACTTTTGTACGGGTGAAAAGAGTTTCTATGTAGAATTCTCCACGAAGAACTTATATCTTGGGGTTATTATCAACCTGCTGAATTACAGCAACAGTATTTTCATCATTTGTAGCCGTCCTGTTCCTTTCTCTTTTAGGTTTTATGAAGCTGCCATATTCTCTTAAGTTTTTACATAAACTTGAAAAGGTTTTTGCATCGGGGACTCTTCTATGCGGATAACGCCGTGCGTAAACTCTTTTTGCTTCTCTACAATTGCATCTGCATTCTCCAAACACCAGTAACATGTCTACTTTTTCCTCATTGCTAAATTGCACCATTTTCACATAATAATTCTTAGTTTTTTTTAAACCGAACAATTTTGGATATTTCTTGTGACAAAATGTGACAATTTTTTGATACAGCAATAACAACTTACGTTTGTAGTTGCACTTAAAACAACTGCGATAACAATGGTTGCCATAGTAACTAACATTCATGGCATACTTGTAAAAATAAGCGTTAATCACATTTTTTATTAATCAAGAAATGTTTACTTTAAATCGGTATAACTTAGAAACGGGTAAAGTAAATAAGTTTGAGTAAATAACAAAAAAGTTTTTAAATAATATGTACTTTTGTATGCGCGTATTTCCAAACTCTCTGCAATCGAATAATTTTTCGAAGCGTCGCGACGCCCAGCTCTTTGCAGGCGTCGAATTTTTTAAACTTTAGGAAATATCTACTTGACCCCACACTTTGACTACTTTTTACATAAATTAAATATTTCTTTTCGTTTTGGACTTATTGGCGTGCGGAGTTTTAAGTGAAATATATATATATATATATATATATATATATATATATATATATATATATATATATATATATATATATATATATATATATATATATATATAATTTTGCAAAATATTTGGTAGTTCATGTCTAAAAAGCGATATACCCAAAACGTTCGTAGTCATAGTAATTCATTTTTTGAACAGTTTATACAATAATCATGGAAAAATATTTACTTTTTTTGTATTCTGTGGTTTGCATTGTTTTTTTTTATAATAATTATAACAATTATAAAATTGTTAAGTGGAATGAAATGAGGATATACTTAACAACAACAAAACTTACAAATATTTTCAAATAATTAGAATATATATTAAAATATATGATTATTTAAAAAAAGATATAGTATATTCCACTTAAAAGTATATAACATTTAGAACGTATGTCAAAAATTATACATTTTGGAAAAAATATGAGTACGCCACTGTTTGTCAACCCTCTAGTTTCTCAAAAGTGTTTACAATCGTTTTTCGATTTCAATAAATATTAACGCAAATATAACATATATTATAATTATAATAATTTTTTTTAATATAAATTCGCTAAGGTCGATCTCTGATTCCAATTGGCGACTTTTTAAAACTTAAAAACTCCCAGTGCATGATTTATTTAAAAATTATACAATTTTTCACGACCTCAAATTCAATCAAAATGGCAATTTGAAAGTCACTGCACCGGTTCTGTAAACTGAGCTGTAAACCTACTTAGCACACTTTAGGAAAACCAGCCTGCAACTGCAATACGAGTAATGAATACTTGGAAAACTACAATATTTAATTTGCAGTTATTTTCATGTTAACTGCATTTAATATTGCTTGAATAAACGCACTACTCGAAAATGGAGTTAATTTAATATTTTGAAGAATAAACAGATACCTATATTACACACGGTTAGCCAAAAATTTGGCACACAGGAAGTTTTAGTTATGGTTGATCTAATAATTATAAGGACAATAATGCCTCTCAGAGATCCTAACTTAAATTTTAGTGGAAAAAGAGAAAGAATGAAATGGATAAAAAATATGAATTTTATGTAAAATTTTCAGGACGTCTTTAGCAAAAACGTACCAGCCAGTTTTTTCACCGTAACAAAGCGGGATGTTAAATGAGTAATAAGTATCTAGAAACTTAGTTAACCAAACCTCCCTGTTAAGGTCATACTTTGTATTAAAATTAAAATCTTATCAAACTTATTACTTATAAAGATCGTTTTTTGAAATATTAATATAATATTTTATAATATTATCTATATGCATTTTAAATGGTTTGAAACAGTTTGAATGTAAAAGGGACACAGATAAACGATATTAAAATACTAGAAACAGCACAACCAACATTTTTCGCAACTTAAGTTTTTACTGTAAGATAACAGTTTCTAAAGTTTTATAAGAAAACCGTTGGTGTAATACATTTTTTCAAGCATCCAGTAAATACCAAATTATTTTAATTTTTTTAATATTGCAACCAAAACGTTTCCTCCGTAAAATCCTTTGTAAGTCTTAATGCATTTACAAATATTTTACAGCTACTATGAAACATAAAAACTATAATAACAAACTTTTTTATGCAGCAGGAGGCAGCTACGTTTTTTAGATTATGATGTTTAATAATTGTATTCTTAAAGATGTCGCAAGTTAAACCGCCAAAATTAGACAAAAATAGAAAAAGCTTTTATGGAAAGTATATAATATTTTGCAAACTGCAATAGACAATAAATAACTAAAGAAAAACCAGAGAAAAGCTAGAAGAAGTTGGGCAAAATTTAGGCTTTCAAGACAACATTTTATTGGCAAATACCAAAATGTAGCACTGCTCTGCTAAGTTGTGAAAATATACTTGTAGGGCATGCCCTATTATCTTCTTGGATTATTTAACTCTGGGCAAAAATTCCGTTCCATCTGTATTGTACGCCATTGCCGCCATTTCGAATTTGGCGGATTAATATAACATAAAATTATCCCTTTTTTAAGCATTCCTTTTGTTAGTAATCAGATTACGGCACTGAATTTGAATGCCGGGGTATGCCGATTTGTTTTTACTTTTAACTTTAGGGGGTCAAAACGGCATCCCCGACTCCCATGCGCTTGGAACGACCGTCA